AGATAACTCCATGGAGGGATTTGCTTCTTTTTGGCTTTTTGAGGGCAAATCATTCCATCACCCTAATTACTGTGTTTAAGGGAATTTGCTAATACCGTCCCACTGGGTGCCCAAGTCACGAACCTGTAATGATGTTCCTGATGGGCTTCACCAATGCTGTGAAGCCAGAGACTTCAGGCTGTCTGTGCTCCCACATAGGCTGCCATATAACAAGCCCACTGGCCAGACGGAAGGTGAGGTCAGATTCCTAGAAGAAGAGGAGATTTATGGCCAATAATTGGAATGCAAAAATTGGTTGAAGGGACAAGTCAATGCAAGGATTAACACTATTCACAAGGTTATTTTTAGAGTGCATTGATCTGCCAAACCTTTCATTGCTTAGATGAGTATTTCTAGAGTAAACCAATGACCCTAACTTATCATTGCAAATATGAAAATCACAGTTGTCCGTTCTATGCAAAGTTCATCACTAATCAAAATTTAATTTTGGGCAAAGCACAGAACACACAAATTATTGTTTTGTGCATGTCGTGATCGAGATCTGTTTATCTGAAGAGTCTTGGCAGATCTATTCACTTGTGGTCATGATTATCATTCCTCTTAACTATTTAATTGCTTTTATTTCTCCCTCATAAGGCAATATCATTAGATGCTGGCTATTTTGACTTTCTATTCCCCAGCCCATCCCTTTTTCTTATATTTCATGGCATCAGGTACATACACTTTGACCCTCCATAGTGTATTATTTTGTAATGTTTTCTCAACAATCTTTACTTCCTCGAGGGCAAGAATAAATCAATCATCATCCTTGCCCTTCAACCCCAGCTTCATCACAGTGCCTAACACAGCATTAGGAATTAGATGCACAATAGATACTCAACAAATACTTGCTGAATTGCACTGACTTTGCAACCTGTGCTCACTGAGCTTAACTATAACTGTAGATCTCTTCCAGGAGCACATTCTCTACTTCCTATTACTTCATTTTGAGACACTGAGGTGTTTAAAATGCAATCTCATATTGTACAAGTACAAACATATGGCATTCTCGGACTACATCTTAAATACCTCAGCTCTCAAAACAATGTAAAGATGGAAGCAGAGAATGTGAACACAGGTTAATAAACACATTTGAGATGTAACAGTTCACTTAGAGCAGTGAGTTGCAACCCTTGCTTGCATATTATTATATAATTGCCTGGAGAGCTTTTAAAACTAGGAGGCCCAGGTCTCATTTACCTCCCCTACCCAGACCCATTGAATTAGAATCTCTGTGAGGTTTTCTAAATTTCCCCCTGCTGACTCTCATGCATAGCCAACACTGAAAATCACTGAGCTGAAAGAAAAGAGCTAGGAAGAAATTTAAAAAATAGAAAAAAATGCAGTCCCATATATATTGTAGCACTATTCACGATAGCCTAGATATGGAATCAATCTAAGTGTCCACCAACAAATGAATGGATAAAGAAATTGTGGTAAATATACACAATGGAATATTATAATATATAGCCACAAAAAAGAATGAAATCCTGCCATTGGCAACAACATGGATGGAACTGGAGAACATTATGTTATACGAAATAAGCCAAGCACAGAAAGACAAATATTGCATGTCCTCACTAATATGCAGGAGCTAAATATTAAAAACAATTGATCTCATGGAGATAGAGAATAGAATGATGGTTACCGGAGGCTGGAAGGCTATCAAGAAGGTCGGGGGGAGTTAAAGTGGGGATAATTAATGGGTGCAAAAATATAGTTAGATAGAATGAACAATATTTGACAGCACAACAAAGTGACTATAATCAACAATAAGTTAGGGTATACTTTAAAATAACTAAAAGAGTAGAACAGGAATGTTTCTTACACAAAGAAATCTTAAATTCCTGAGGTGATGGATACCCAAATTACTCTGATTTGATTAATTCACATTGTATGCATGTATCAAAACATCACGTGTACCTTATACAAGTACACAACTATTATGCATCCATAATAATTAAAAGTAAAAAAAGAAAAATATGTGATTCCGCACAGGGTGAATCAATGTAACTGAACATCAAGGAATCTTCATCTGAAAAGGCTGATGTAGTCCCCGAATAAATCCACACAGTGGTACAGAGAGAGCTCTTCTGTAAACCTAAACACCAGGCTGGGATCCTGGCACCATTAGCAGCAGAGCTACAGAAGTGCCCACAATGGAAAAGCCTCTAGGATTCCCTGGGGAAGTATTAGAAAAACACATAAAGCAATTGGTCAAATTAATTCAACATGTATTCTATAAATATTTATAGAGCACCTACTATCTACCTGGGATTATTCTAGGTTCTTGAATACAACAATGAACAAAACTTGCAAAAATCCCTGCTCATAGTGCAAAGAAGAAATAAAGCAAGTAAGGGGATGTATCAGGCAAGTTTTACAAGGTTACAAGGGGATGTATCAGGCAAGGTTTACAGAAGAGTTCTCTCTGTACCACTGTGTGGATTTATTCGAGGACTACATCAGCCTTTTCAGATGAAGATTCCTTGATGTTCAGTTACATTGATTCACCCTGTGTGGAATCACATATTTTTCTTTTTTTACTTTTAATTATTATGGATGCATAATAGTTGTGTACTTGTATAAGGTACACGTGATGTTTTGATACATGCATACAATGTGAATTAATCAAATCAGAAATTAGACCAGAAGGCCAAGGATGTCTTTATTGAGAAGGTGACTTTGAGTCAAGATCTAAATGAAATGAGAGAGCTGCCATGTAGCTATCTCCAGAAAAAGTATTCTGTTAAAAAGGATCAGCACATGCAAAGGCCCCTAAGTATCCCTAATGTGTCCAGAACTAACCAGGAGATTGTGTGCCTGGAGTCGAGTGAATTAGGGAAGAATAGAAAAAAAGTAATATTGGAGATGTTATTAAGTGCCAGGTAATATATTGCCTGATATGTCATGATAAGGCCTTCAGCAATTTCTGAGTAAGACAGGAAGCCACTACAGGGTTTTGAGTAGTACAGTGACATCACTGTATGTATATATTAATAGGTTCACTCAAGCCATTGAAAATAGTTTGAGAAAGGGCAAGGGAGGAAGGAGAGACTATTTAGGAAGTTATTGTTGTCATCTAGATGAAAGATAGATTAGACTAGGGTACAAGTAAAGGGCAAATAAAAGTGGTAGATTCTGAATATGTTTTGAAGATATGGCTTATAGAATTTTGCCACTGATTGGAAGTGCAGTGTGAGAGAAAGAAATGTCAAAGATTTTTGGCTTTGCCATTAATAAAGATGAGTAAGATGAAGGAGGAACAGGTTTGGAATTTTAGAAGCATAGTTTTAGACATGTTAAATTTGAGATACCTATTAGACATTCAACTAGAGATATTGAGTAAGCAGTTAGATAGAAAAGAATGGAGTTAAGGGGAGAGTAACCCACATTCCCTTGAAATGGACATAGGGAAGTCTGCATGGTACTGTATGTGGTGTCAGAACCAGCAAGCAGGGAATTAGCACTAAGCAAAGCTTATCAGATTTGTCTCCAGAAATGTAGGAAGCCAAACCTCAACTGACCTGGTTTTAATAATTTCTTAGTTTCAGAGCTCAGTACTTTTCCATGTTTCTCATAAGTAATCTTGACACAAGTAAAAGTCCAGTGAAAACTGCTGCAGGGAGTGAGCTTCTTGTACTGAAATCCTGGCCTTTAACATCTGATCTATCAGTGTGACACTCAGCACTCACTGACTGTTACTGTCATCATTTTGTTTTATTTGACACATCCTCAACTAGACTATATATTTCTTGAGTACAAGTTGAGATCTCTCCATCCATGCATTGCACCTTGAGCATTAATACATAATTTTTGATTAATTGAACATACTTTACTTTCTCCAAATAACACCAACTGAATCCAATTACTCTTCAGACCTGAATGCCTGCAGCATCTATAGCCTTCTCTTGTGTTGGTATGTTCCTTTGTAAGACTTCTGAAGGTGGTGGAATGCATAAACTCTGGGGCTCTAATTCTTCTTCTAGAGTCACCTTTAATGGGACATCCAACACTATATATGTATGGACACCCAATGCTATGTAGGTCCATGGGGTGGGTGGGGGCAGGTCCTGCAGGTCCCACAGGCCAGGTGGACAGTCTCAGTTAAAGTAATGCTTTCCATTTAGTATAATCTTTATAAAATACTTTCTAAAATGAAAAGCTAAAGCAATTTAATTTGATTTAACAACATTTAAAAATTTTAGTATGTTTGATGGGCAATATGGCCAGTGTATGTGTTGCATTTAGGAAATTTATAGGTAGTTTCAAATTTATTCTTACCAGCAATGGACAAAGTTAATAAGAAGTGAATGTTTTAGAAAACTAAAATGGGTGAAAATACTAGTCTGATTCCCTAATGGTGATTGTTGATGGTCACAACCACCTTTACATATACATTGCTAACTTGAACATCCATTCATTAGAGTCATAACATTTTATTGAAAAGAAGTTGAACATATTAATTCCATCTTATCTCTTATCTTAGCATTTAGGTGGAATATGGTAATTTATTCACTCACAGAAGTAACAAATAGTTCTTGATTTCTTTTCATGTGTTGAAAATATACTATGTGTCTTCACATACACTTATCCTGTGTTAGAGGTATCCACAATTTTGTACAATTGAAGATCTGAGATGTTAAGTAATATCACCAAGATTACACAGCTAAAAAGTAGTGGCACAGTGATTTCAAGTTATGTTGTCTCCTCCAGGTCCAAGAGATAGATGGATATAATTATATTTAAGACAATTGATTTTCATATAATCCTGTGTTTTATATTTTATGCATCTAAATATTTTAGAAAGCAAGTCTTAGATTATACCCAACTGCTAAAAAGTCCATAGCACATAAAGATTTAAACTTCTGCTCTATACCCTGTATTATAGTAGCAGTAGTTACAAAATGCTGTAGAAATACAAAAGAGGTAGTGACTAAGTATGGGGAAGGATGAGGAAGGTCCAAGAAAAACCATGTTAATGATGACATTAAAGTTGGAGTTTGAAGGACCATGAGAGGAACAGAGGAAGGAAAGGAGGGCAGAGCAAAGAGCAAAGGAATGGCTCCCACAGCTCTCAAGGCTGGATCACTGGGGTGGTCTGTAGGGATTGACAGTTGATACATCAAGAAAGCAATTTAAGCCATACATCATGCTCAACTGCTTACATTTCACGTTCAATACATTGGGCATTATCTTGAGGAAGGTGAAGAACCACTGAAGATTTTTAAGTAGGTAAAGGATTAGTGGAGATTTGTGTTTTTGAAGTAATATTTAGTAGTTTTAATGTAGAAATTAAACTCTCAACGTCTCGACTAGCTATCAGATCATACAAAGACATGGACAACCAAACATGGAAATATCGTTTGAAGCCCACCTGCACCTCATGTCCATCCCCCGCCAGTCCTGACACTAGCTTTCTGCTTACCTTGATCCTGTGGACCAGAGGAGCAAACAGAAACACAAAGAGCTCCACGGTAGCCATGGAGTTCTGGAAGATCTTCCTTCGGTTGTTCTCTTCTTCGTCATTGGAGCTACTTTGGCAAGGCTGCCCTGGAGAACCCTGGTTTTCAACCTGGTGGATGAAGGCACTGCTGCTGCCACCCCAGCTAGAGCCTCGGTCTGTGCCCCCAAACCGCTCGCTGTTACAGTCCTGGGGGGCCTCTAGGAGCATCCAGTGCAGGGTGTGAAGGAGTTTTGTCTCAGCAACACCCAGTTTATCCTGGTGGCCTGAATGAGACAATCACACAGGCAGGTTAATGCCAACTCTGTGACCAGAGCAATGGATGTCAACTGTGTGTCTGGGAAGAACATTCCTGCTTCGCTCTGTAGCTCTATTTCCCAGGAGACACTAGCACTTATCTATACTTCTTATGACCACTGTTATCAGGGCTCATTCTTGTTTTTTAGGCTTCCCTTTTGGCTGCGATCTCTGCAGATGATATGTTGTCATAGGGGCAGAAACTGCATGAATCACATTTCTTCAGTTAGATACTCAAGTATATGTCCAAATAGGCAGCACAGTGCTTAAAAGTGTAGGCTCTGAAGATAACAACTGTTCTATTTTAGACATTGTGACCTGGAATGAACCCTCTATAGAGGCAACATTTGAATGAGGAGAGGCAGTGGGATAAAGAAGAGCTATACACTAAATGGGGGAAATGGCTAGGATATGTTGCCAGAGGAGAAAAGCAATCTGCAAAACAATCTAAAAAAAAAACTTTATGCCCATGTACACACATACTCACACATAGTACTGCAAAGTCAGGAAAATGTCTAGGAGAAATATGCCAAATTTATGAAAGTGAGTGCTTCAAGAATTGAGAGAATAAAGGGGACAACCATAGCTGGGACTCATCTTGGGTGAGTGAGAGTCTTTAGCTTACTTATAACATTTTAATGTTTAAGAGGAGACTATATTCACCTATTGCTTGTGAAATTAAAAGATTAAAAACAAGACAGTTCTCTTATTGGTAAAATGGAAATAAAGGGAACATGAATGAAACAGAGATTTTGTGATAATTAAATGGTATAACATATGCATGGTGCCTGGGAAATAGGAACCACTCAATACAGGTTGTTATTAATATTATGAATATTGAACACAAAGGACAATGGCGTGCAATAAAGAAGTAATGCAGGGTAACGAACCTAGCTTGTTTCTGTTAGAAAGCAGGGTTGCAGTGCAGTGGAGGACGTGAGGCAAAGCAGCTTGCACCAGCTCCCATCTGGAAATGCTCTGGATGGCTTCAGAGAGGGCCGGGGAGAGGCCATGCAGCTTGTTTTCTACCAACACTCGCTCAAAGGACTATAGATACAAAAACAAAGACAAAAAACTAAAACCCAAAACCATGTAAAAGAAGGAATTAAAGATTCTGACTACTGAAAAAAATGGATATCAAGGTACTGTATACCTTAAAAGATACAAATCAATGGACTAAATCCTTTAGGGTGTGCTCACATGGCATTTCATTGTATATGTTGATATGCAATGGGTCAGTGACAATTTCATATTATCTACCCCTTTGCAGGCTTTTGATCCAAGTAAATGGCTTGAATTATGAAAGATTTTTATTTCCATCAAAATAAACTTTCTCTAACAAAGAGTATAAGAACACATTTCACTTCATAGGATTTTTGAATGTCTTATTTTATAAAATGTTGCTGAGTCATCCAAAGAGTCTGTCATAACTGCAGACCAAAATGAAATGTCTTTTGCAAAAATGTCTTGAGAGACAGAATTTATGTCAATTTGTTCAACAGGTGTTAACTAAGATATAACTCTTTCCAGAAATCTTATTTTGGGGTTCCTGATTTATTTCATGTCCCTAGCAACGACTTGGCAGAGAACACTTTTTACCTAACACCTGGAATAAGGAAAGACACTTAATATATCTGTTGAATAAAGAAAGACATGGAGGGAAAAGAGGAGGAGGGAGGGAGGAGGGAAATAAGCCATCTTTCCTTTGCTGATTATTAAATCCTCTATCCTTGCTAGGGATACATTCAGAGAGTGAAGCACTCCCAAAGAAATAATAAGTTTGACCTAATCAATTCCTTTTTTTTTTTTGAAGGGAAGGAGAATATTACTATAAAGTGTTGAAGAAAGTGTAGCTACCAAATATTAGAATAAATTTAATAAACATTTGACTTATAAGAACATGATTGGTACGTGATGCCCCAAATGGTCAAGAAAATTGTATAAATGATCATACTACAAGTCTGAAGTGCTCAAACTGTATTATTGGAATTGTTAGAATAGCTGTGAAAAAGAAATGTCTTACTATGGAGATTCTCCAAAGAAAACTTTTTACTTTTAGATCAAAAAAAGGAAAATAAGAAATTCACCTTTATAATAAAAGGCACTCTGCAGTATTGTTAAGGAGCACAACTAGAGATATGTCTTTTGTTTTCTTTTAAGAAACTAAATAAAAGCCTTTAGATATGTTTGTGATACAGATACAAATACTTTAAAATTCTCCAGTCCTCAAATATCTAATCATTCATTAAGTAAAAGATGAGTTTATTAGACACTAAAAGATTATAAAGAATTTATATGGTCTAATAAATACATTGTTGAGGATGAGTTATGTATTTCATAATCTCAGGGAGTTTCTGGATAGTTAATGTCATTTTCTTTTTAATATCATTAATAGAACTTTTTATGATTTCTTAAACTTGGGGAATTGTTTTTTATATTGAGATTATAAATCTCTATCTCTATGTATTGATGAATATAATTCAGCTATTTGATAATTGTGTGACATTAAAAACATCAGACATATCTTTGCCAAGAACAGAGAAAGATCATGATTATTTTAAGCTAGTATGATTGTCAACATGGTTTAAGGAAGGTTCAGAGATTTCAATTCTCAAATTACTCTAATGAGATAAGTTCAACAACAAATGCTATTAAAGGTCCTCATAAGAAAGTTACATTCTGGCTGGGCGTGGTGGCTCATGCCTGTAATTCTAGCACTCTGGGAAGCCGAGGTAGGCAGAACGTTTGAGCTCAGAAGTTCGAGACCAGTCTGAGCAACAGTGAGACCTCATCTCTACTAAAAAATAATAGAAAGAAATTAGCTGGACAACTCAAAATATATAGAAAAAGTTAGCCGGGCATGGTAGCACATGCCTGTAGTCCCAGCTACTCAGGAGGCTGAGGCAGAAGGATCGCTTGAGCCAAGGAATTTGAGGTTGCTGTGAGCTAGGCTGACGCCACACCACTCTAGTCCAGGCAACAGAGCGAGACTCTGTCTCCAAAAAAAAGAAAAAAAGAAAATTATGTTTTGAAAAATATCTCTGTGATGACATTGACGGGCAGGGGATGCAACAAAACAAATTCCTACTTGAGTGGATGTGTGTGTGTTTAACTCTCCAGTTGGCTTCCATCACAGTTTGTGGCCCTAACACATGTCAGAGCTCTTTACCAAAAGGTCATTCATGCAGCTATTTGTAAATATGCATGGCAATATCCAAATGGATAGATTTCCACTTTTAGGTTATAATATATGTAACATAAAAACATTTAGGTGAGCTTCACATATTAATGAAAGCTAGTAAAAGTCCATTTCAATGTTGCTTCATGATTTCATGTTTTATTTTCTCAATTTGTAAAATGGGAATTTGCAGGGATATGAGATTCCCTGAGAATCTCAGGACAAATGCACTTGATTTTGCATAAATATTAGCATCATTATTTCCACATTTATTTTATAGTGTTCATTTTCAGAATTGCAGAACATATGCAAGACATAAAAGTACAGAATTCCATATTATTTTGTCCAAATAGTTCATAGGCACTCATCACATGAACTTCCGCTATAGAATAGCCTCGATTTTGTTAGTTAAGTCTTTGACTTTTCACCCTTGCCCTTGAAGGTCCCCCATCACCAGGTTGCCTGTTATTTTTCTGCTCTCTCTTCTGCTACTCAATCCCTCTTCATCCTTTCACTTACTCCCCAGTTGGTGCCAAGGTTCTTTAACTTGCTATTCCCTACACTCTTTCCTTAGCTATGCTTCCTTTCCTTCCTTCATATCCTCGTCCAAGAGCCACATTAGTAAATAAACCTTATCTACCCGCTGCTTATGAAATGAAACCCCCACCCTAGTGCTTCCTAATCTCCTTTCTTAGTTTTTCTCCCTAACGCTTATCACCATCTGGCTTACATATATTTACTCATTTGTGGCTTGTCCCCTTACCTCTAGAATGTAAATGCTATTTTTGTTTTTATCATTGCTCTACTCCAGCAAAGAAAATTGTGCCTGGCACACACTCAATAATACCTGCCAAGTGAATTAACATTAAATATATAGTCAGTATGATTTAAAGTTTGTCTTTGGGTTCAAATTGCCATACAGACTGTGGAAATAATTATTAAACAGTGAAAATCACATACCACACAAGAGGCTTCATATTGTTTCCCCAGTTTGGGTCTCAAAAATGCACTGAAAAATTAATAGAGATATTTGTTAATAGAGATAAGTAAAATTATTATTAAAGCATTCTTATGACATATTGTTCAAGGAATAAAACACGATGCTATGAAACTCAAATTTCATACTTCCTTATAGCTTGTTAACGAGCAGGTGTTGAACAGCTGATGATATTTGCTTTTACATGTGTAATTATATATATAATAGATATGCGGATCTCTACGGTTTTTGTTATCCACTCTTATTCTGAAGACTTTTACCTGATCAGATTTTAAATCGCTCATGGTCAGAAGTGGTGCATTAACCATGTGTACGATCATAATAAAAATTGCAAAATGAACACGGCTTGCGAGTCATGATTTTCAGAATTGAATTTCTTATCTGATAAAGCACTATAATAATAATAATAATAATAATGATAAAGAAAACCTTTTCTGAATATTGGAAGGTTTCAGGCCTTTTCAGAGGGGGCAAAAATCCCTTATTAAAAATCACTCTCCTCGGGGGCTTTAACCAGGAAGATTAATCTGAGCAAAATGGTTAACAAGTGGGCACAGCAGATATTTGCCAAACAGGAGCTGGAAAAACAACAGGTCACCGGGCTGGAATTACAGCAGGAGATGGAGGGGGAGTTGGACGCAGTAGCACAACCAGTCACAATTATCTTCCCTAGCTCCCCGCCCCCTCTTCCCAGGCTCTCTGCCCTCCCACCCCCTAAATAATGTATATTATTTATTCGACAACTGTCAATCTGCTTGTCGTCAAACTTCGCTGAAATATTTTTTTGAAATGCGTGTTTTCAAGCGGGTGCAGAGGGCTTGCTTTCCAGCCCCAGAGAGGGAGCTGCAGGCTGTGGCGCGGCCTCAACAGCAGCAGCGGCGGTGGCGGCGACGACCCCTGCGGCCCCAGGAGCGCCCCCAGCCCAGGGCGGCCCGCGGCGCGCCCTCTGCGCCCCTCACCTGGTTTGCCGCCACAGAAAGGTCTGGATGGGCAAGGGGATGCCGCGGCCGCTGTCCTGCTCCTGGCCCTCGGAGCTCTTCCTCTTCACCATGATGGTGGCTCCCGGGAGTCCTACTGCAGGACCCAGCGCTGGCTCCTCGCTAGCCGCCACCTCCTCCTCCTCCTCCTCCGCGCGCTGCTCCCCCCAACTCTCATCCCCTCCTTCCCCGAGGCAAAGCCGGCTCTCTCCGCCCTGATCCCGCGTCCCTCTCCGCTTCCCCCACCCCTCCCCGCGCGGGGAACATGGCTGCGGGAGGAGGGGGGGGCTGGCGGAGCCGCGGAGCGGGGAGGGGGGCGCTCGCAGGAGCTGTCCGCCTCGCCGCCCCCGCGCCCGCTCCTTGCTTTCAGCACCTCCCACTGTGGACAGCGGCCCGCGCCGGGCGGCCCAGCTGGAGAGGCGAGTCGGGGGCAGGTTGAACAGCAGGGGGATGGCGGACAGAGTCCACGCTCCGCATCGCACGCGCAAGCTGGTCCCCTGCGCGGCCTCTGCAGCCCCCAGGACCCGGCTTCCCTCCCTCCGAGATGCACCCAGGAGTGTCCCCTGGCCTGCTTCCCAACCTCGGCATCCGAAGGAAGAACTGTCACCGTCTAGGGAGGAGGAGCTTTGGGGAACCGCAGAGCAGTCACTGACCCTGGCATCATTCGCACCTCTAGCAAGGAGGTCAGGAGTCCACCCTTGGGGTTTAGCAGAGGGAACACATGAAAATTGTTAGAAGTGTAAACCCGGAAAGAAGGCAAGCTTGGCAAGTGAGAGGAAGCTTGAAAGTTCTCAGATGTGAGAATTTATTTTAAAATTAACCACAAGAAATTAACCTTACTTGTTTTACCAAAGTAGGAACACAAAGTCCTAAAACCAAACAGTGTGGGTATCAGTTAATTGCAAACTGAAGAAGAACATTTGAATCACGCTGTGAGGCAATGTGGCTTGTTACAATCTATTAAGTGCAATTGGGTGATCCTGTTCAACCCAGTGATATCTGCCATTTTTCTTCAGTGGTGGTAATGCCTATATAGTTTATAGTAGATGTATTATCTAATAGTAAAGCAAGTAGGGGTGGGGTGGGATGAAGCAATCTAAATAGAAAACCATTGCTGCGGATCCAACTACCTGCAAACAAACAAACAAACAAGCAAAACATATATATTTACATACCTTTTGGAACAAAAATGTTGATGTAACCCATGCAATAAAGAATCAGACCCCAGGCTGGGCGCGGTGGCTCACGCCTGTAATCCTAGCACTCTGGGAGGCCGAGGCGAGTGGATCGCTCAAGGTCAGGAGTTCGAGACCAGCCTGAGCAAGAGCGAGACCCCGTCTCTACCAAAAAATAGAAAGAAATGATCTGGA